CTTAGTGCAGAGGACTTTTGTTGAGCATATACAACGAATTCATTAAGTCAAATAGGATTTGGAAAATACAAAATTACATTATAAGACAATTGCAAATTGATATAGACACCTTAAAGCATTCGAAGAAGGTGATTTGGTGATGATTCATCGCCACAAACATCAAGATCGGTCCCTTTCGAATTAAGGTGTTCACAGATTCTTACAAGTTAAAAGATAAAAAGATTGGTCTCTTTCGAATAAAGATAGCTGATAATGCTTTTCTTCCTACCAGTATGAATATCTCCTATACTTTCAATGCTGATAGTTTTTAGAATTATTCACTTGACGAATTTTCTTTATGTTGATTAGGATATTTTATTATTTTATTATTTAATAGTTTATTATTTCATTAATTGAAATAATATAATTAGAGTTCTATTACAATAATAATTTCATATAATCAGAATTCTAATAGAATAAAAAAAAATTTATCAGTAAGTTAGAAATTATATAAATATTCCAAATGAAACAACATAAAAAGTATAAAAACATAAAATTTATATTTTTTCTCCAAAAGCAATATGATATTAAAGCCAAAAAAAGCCATTTTAAGATTTTAATTTCAGAATTCCCTTCAAATTCTAAAATAAAACAATAGGCTGAGTTAGTACTCACTCATCCAGATCTACTCTCATCACTACCCCAGACGGTGTTGTTGACACATTAGCGGCCTTCCCTTGACTTCGACAACCGCCAGCAGCAGAAGTGCGTGAGCTGCATGCGAGGTTGTCAGCCGCCACGATCCACCGCGATTTCATCGGGAACCACCACAAAAATTGCCAATGGGTTCAGGTTTGATATGGAACTTGTGAAAATCATGTCAGAACCGCTCTAATATGCCTTTCGCGTGATTCAGCCGCTGCAATCTTCTTCTTCGATTGTGCGAGCCTCTTCTTCCAACCTTCTGGTGTTGAACAAGCATGAGACCAACAAATATGGCGTCTCTTCCTCTTCAGTCGCACAGATCGGCCGCGCTAGAGACAAATCACCACATGATCTGCCGCTTTAGGTATGCTTTCACGCGGCTGCGACTCTGCAGATTTGTTCTTCAACCACCCGCGACACTGCTTCTCTAAGTTCACGATACTGGCACTTGTCCGCATGAGAGCCGCTCTGACCGGCCTTCTTTGGTCCTTTTTCCAACTCTTCCGCACACATCTGTCTTGTGCTTTCACGATATCAGCGCTTATCCAACCTCTCTGTGCACAAGCCGCTCCGACCAGCCTTCTCTGGTCCTTTCTTCAGCTCTTACACGCGTGTTTGCCCTCTTGTTTCGCAATATTATCACTTTCTTAATGGAATATTCTGTTTCTAATCATTGTCTTCAGGCTTGCAACATATTTCCCTCTTCTTGGTGCTAGTGAAAAGGTTTGTTCTTTCCCTATGTGATTAGCAATTGGGTATTGTTTTTTCTATTTCTAATATTCTAAAATGACATAATGGTTCCTAATTCGAATAATCCTCGTTATAAATCAGTTCCGTAAATCTTGATAGAACTAATTATCTTATTTGGTTAAGATTTTGTTTATTATTTATCAAAACTAGAGGCTTGTAGGGTTATATTACAGGTAATATGAAGAATTCATATGTTGTTAGTTTGGAAATATCTTGACTCATCAATTCCATGCAACCCCACATAACCCAAATGTATCTATTGTTCAATACTGCAGCAAAAAAATAAAATGCAAGATCTCTTATATACTCACTAATGGATAATGATGCCCAAATTTATGAACTACACAATAAGATTCATGACACAAAATAAGAACAGATGACTTTCTCAATATCTTTTTTAGCACGGTAAACTATGGCAGGAACTAAATTACTATCGAGATTTGCATACAGATTGTTTTGTAGATGCAATCAAATTTCAGAAACTGATAGAGAAATAATGTATTAATGATTTATTGATTGGTCTGAACACCGAATATGATCAAATACAAGTACAGGTATTTGGTAAGATCCTCTTCTCTCATTACAACAAACTTATTCTTATGTCCAATAAAAAAAAAAAGAAGGAATGTCATGTTTCACATGGCACCAATTGAGAAAACTGAATTAGTTGCTTAGTCTGACCAATCTAACAATCCACGGAGTTGTGACTATTGGGCAAGCCAAGGCACACTAAAGAAACTTGCTAGAAATTGCATAAATGACCAACTAGAAGTCGTAGGGAAGGAAAGAAGAACCTATAAGAGCTCAAAAAAATTTGGTTGAACCAAGTGAAACGTCTGATACACCAACAATTGGAGTCTTTTCAACTAAAGAGATTTAAAACCTGAAACATATTTTGTCTCTTTTCATCAACTATTGGTGCATCAAATGAAATGGAATCAGAATCTTTGAACCGGAAAGAGAATTGGCACTGATCGACTGTATGTAGCAGATATCTTCACTAAAAGACCTTACAACAAATATCTTTAGAACTTACTTTACAAATTAGACATGTGTGATATCTTAGCACTAACTTGAGGGAGATATTGACTATGATATTTTATTATTTAATTAATTTATTATTTAATTAATTTAAATGATATAATTAGAATTATATTAAGATAGTAATCTCATGTAATTATAATTCTAGTAAAATAAGAATTTCCTTATTAATAGGTTAAGAATTCTATAAGTATCCCAAGTGTAACAATATAAAGAGTATGAAAAAATAAAATTAATATTTTATCTAAAATTAACACTTTGCAAATCATAAAATTCGGGAACAAATTTTTCTCAAGAGGGGATTGATGCAACACACTTTTATTTCAAAAAAAAACTGTCACAAACCTGATACATGATTCGGATCTGGAAAGAAGAGGAAGCAAGAGGGAGAAAACAGACAGAGAGAGAGAAAGAAA